AGCTGTCGCCATTTTTGTTAGCAATTATAATCAAAATTGCAAGTAATTGCATAACCCCCCTTTTGTATTATAATCCAAAGGGTCCTCCTAATTACTGTTTTAAGGTTCATCATAGGAAATGGACAAAAATGGCTGTGTTAACACCTAAAAATTTGCTCTGAGTACAGACAAACCTGTGCAGTTAGGAAAAGTTTTAAGGCCTAGCTTCCACTAGATATATAAAAGTTAAATGCATTTTGTGTTTCAGAAAGATCAAATCTTTTTTGGATTTGATGGGCATTTTTTGTCTCGCCTGCGACCTTTGTCATGGGAGACATAGGGATTACTATCTGGTGACACCCTCAGCGGCGTAAACTATTTGTATAAAGCTTTATATTTCAAAAGGTAGAAAACCTGCATGGGTGCTTCATACCTTGTATGGAGATACCTTATTTTACTTAGATATTATAAACAATTGGTGAACTTTATTTGGTGCATAGAATGATTGTAAGGTGTACTTGTCTGTCTGTTTTGCATTATCTGACCTTAACCTCCTTTTTATGGTTCATTGATCAATGTTAAGTTTTCACAGTTGTGTTTGTTTCTTTGATACTATAAGCAAACGTTAACTTTATTTTGGTGTATGAAATGATTTTAAGGTAAACATAAAATTGAGAATTGAAATGGGGAATGTGTCAAAGAGATAACAACCCTACCAAAGAGCAGAAAACAGCCCAAGGCCACCAATGGGTCTTCAACACGGCGAGAAAATCCTGCACCCCAAGGCGGGCTTCAGCAGGCCCCTAAACAAAAATGTGTAGTAGTTCAGTGAAAATGGACGTCACACTAAATCTGAAACATATAAATGAACTAAAATTTAAAAAACATACAAGACTAACAAAGGCTCCTGACTTGGGACAGACGCAAACATGCGGCGGGTTAAACATGTTTTGTGAGATCTCAACCCTCCCCCTATACCTCTAGCCAATGTAGAATAAACAAACACACAGCAATACACACAGTAAAACTCAGTTTAAAAGAAGTCTGGGTCTGATGTCAGAATAGGTAACAGAAGAAACTCAGCAAAATGACAATGATACATGCATAAATTAACAAAGGACTACTAGCAGTTACTGACATGCCAGCTCAAGACCTCAATTAAACTGATTGAAAGATTATGTCTTCATCATATGAAAATCAAGCACAATCCCTCCTGTTAGGGGTTTAGTATCATACCATCATAAAATATATGAGAAGAACATATCATGCCAACAACTGGTTTTAGAATAAATGTGTTTATTTCCCATGCAAAGACCCTATAAGTGAATCAATATTAATTCCAAAATATGCCATCTTTATTATAAATGACCTGACAACAGTATCGAAACTATATCCCTTCTGAATAAGTCTGTTTAAAGGTTTGGTTAGCTTTTGAGGTGAATGACAACATTTTTGTGCTTTGTATAGAATATTATCATAAAAGATTGGATGTGAAATACCTGAACATATGAGATATCTGCATGTTAATTTATATTTACGAATGATGTCCTTGTACCGATGATAAAATTTAGTAAATGTTTTGAATAGTTTGTGATTTCTAAAACCCTGGTGTAATAATTTTTCAGTAATACTATGTCTGCCAGGGTTTATCTGACCCTGACCTTTGTTTTTAAGACTTTTAACAATAAATCAATCATTGTCAGTACAGTAGGTGAGACATTACAGCGTGTGCACTCTTTGTTTTCTTTCCTGCAGAGGGTGTAAAAATAAACTAAGTTAAAAAAGTTCAATCTTTGAGATGCCCCCTCTCATGTAGCAATTGTATTGTATTGTGTGGATTGATATGGACAACAGAAGGACAATAGATATCTACACAACAATGAGTGGACAGTATAAAATGTAATTGGTATATGTAAGAAAATGATGATCCCTTTCTTCATGATTATGTACGAGTGTTAGCGAGTGCTTATCATGAAGAAAGGTATTTTCATTAGATGACAAAACAGTAGATGAAATGGTATGAGTTTCCTTATTGTGAGTATGAATGTAAATTATGTAATAATTTAATGAGGAATTATCATTTTGTTTATTTACAATTCTAATCAATAAATTGAACTAAATTTTTTCTTGACAGCCAATATTTTGATCCATCTCTTTACATCAAATACTACGTAATTAACTAAATTTCAAATGTTCAAATAAAATGCATTTTATTTGAAATTCAAACATTGGTTTCATTTCCTGTATTTCCTGCGGATACAGTAATCTGAGTTTTGGTAAGCGTATTAAAATGTCGCTAAAATCGAAGGATATATTGAATTTTAAAAGGTTTTTTTTTTCTTCTTTTTTGCATATTGTTTATTTTTTTATAATTTAGAAGTTATAGATATTCATGGCGGTATAAACATTAATTATCAATTTTACTGCACTGATTGTTTGTTTCAAAATTCAACTTTTATTCAGTTTCAATCATTAATCCTTTCAAGCTGATATTAATGTGCTTTGGGGCAGTTGTAACTCATTTATAAATTTCTTTGTTTTGAACCGTAAATAGGCCTAAACAATAGGATAATCCCTTACTAAGAATATGATTTACATTCATTCTTCACAATTAAGGAACACCAAAATCCTACAATTTCGGGTGCAGGACATTTGGGCTTTTTTTTTTACCTGTAACACGAAATGACATTTCCGCTCCAAAGACTGGACATTTGCACTTTAATCTTTGATACACCTGAATTAAATTGACAGGGATTGTGCGCTTTTTACCTGTTGATCTGTAATCTTAACCAAATTTATTGAAATCAAGGAAAGATGTTCACACATTCATTGAAAGTTCTCCCCTACATATCACAAAGTCAGAAAAAGTTATTTGGGTGAATGATAGAGAAAAAGAAAATTCATGGATGGAACATTTAAAATTTTGCCCTAAATTCTTCAAGCAGAATTCTACAAGCAGCTTAATACAATTTTTGGATTTAAAAATAAAAACTTTTGTGTCCATTTTATTGAATGGAAAGTCCGAGAAACAGTCTGAACTGTACCATCATAGTTTATCAATTTGTGAAGACCGAAATTTGAGTTTTTAATCCACCTGCTGTTCATGTTGAACTTAAGAAAGAGTCCATGGTTGCTATCAGGTATATACTTCTATCTACCCTCTTGAAGTGTTTTCTTTTTCATCTGACATAACCATGAGGGCGAAAGATTTTAAGTTTTTTAGCAGTATATAAATAAATGAATGTGTTGTGTTTTGATATTAAATTGTTTTCAAAGTTATCCATGATAACTCAAATATTATGATGATAAAGCACAATTGTCCTATAGAAAAAGCACAAATGTTCTTTTTTAAAAAGCGCATATGTCCTAAAAATTAAAGCGCAAATGTCCTATCAAAAAGCGCAAACATCCCACACCGACAATTGCATTGTTCACAAGCACTTTGCTTTATTCTTACTCTACTAGTAAATGTGATTTTATTTTACCATTATTTGGAGTGATGAAAAAAAAATGCCCATCAAATTCCCAAAAAGATTTTATCTTAATGAGGCACAAAATGCATTTAAATTTTATACATCTACCTGTATATAAACCATAGATGGGAGTTATGTCAAAAAATAAGACAGGCAAAATAATCCAACAAGTACTGTCATAATTTGGCTGACAATATCATTGTGGGACAGAAGGACAACCTAACCAACAGACAAACCAAGGTATGATCAAAACAGATGAACAAATGGGTCAATATCCTTTATGTGCCTCAAATTGAGGAACAAACAAAATCTCTTTGCAGTGATATTGGACATGTTTCAATTTTTATACGCCCATTTACGGGACGTATTATGGTATACCGTTGTCCGTCGGTCAACATGTCGGACATTAACTCAAAAACGCTTTAACCAATTTGCATAAAACTTTGGTGAATTGTTTATATCTATTGACGTGAGCTCCCTTTCGTTTTTTATAAATTTTAGATTTTACGTTTCCGAGTTATGGGGTTTTATTCATTAAAAAAAGGGGGATTTTCCAGTTTTCGGACAATAACTCAAGAATGCTTTCACCAACTTGCAAGAAATTGTGGTGAATTGTTTATATCTATTGACATGAGCTCCCTTTCGATTTTTATAAATTTTAGATTTTACGTTTCTGAGTTACAGGGTTTTATTAAAAAAAAAGGGGGGGATTTACCAGTTTTCAGAAATAAAACTCAAAGATGCTTTCAGCAGTTCTTATGAAACTTTGGTGAATTGTTTATATCTATTGATGTAAGCTCCGTTTAGAATTTTATAAATTTTACATTTTACATTTCTGAGTTATGGGGTTTTATTCATTAAAAAAGGGTGAATTTTCCAGTTTTCGGACAATAACTCAAAAATGCTGTCAGCAATTCTCATGAAACTTTGGTGAATTGTTTATATCTATTGATGTAAGCTCCCTTTTGATTTTCATAAATTTCTAATATGATATTGAGAATTAATTGAACTTTATTTGTTTATAGTCTGACAACAGATTTACTAAGTATTGGGCAACAGCACAGTGTATTGCACAACAGCAAGAAATCTTTAATTGAATATAAATTCAATTCATATAACCAATTTCAATTTCTTTGACTACATTTATTCAGAAACCTGTAATATGTCAAATATTTAATTACAATCCAAATTCAGACCTGTATCAAGCTTGAATACTGTGTCCATTTTTGCCCCAACTGTTCAGGGTTGGACCTCTGCGGGCGTATCCAGCTGCGCTCAGCGAAGCAGTTTATTAACAAGTGGCCGAGCTTGAACATTTGTGCTGATTTGATGAACAGAGCATGATAGAATAAAGTTGTAAATACTATAGCTATGTACCGGTAGTTATTAAATGTGTGCAAAGAACTAAATTTTCGAAGAACTTATTGTGTGAAAAAACAGATTTTTTTACCTCGAGAAGCTGCATCACAAATTAAGGGCTTCTCGGGTTGTGCTACATTATGGGAAAATCAATCTCACTTTGTACTGCATAAATCATCTATATTTCAGTTATGGACAGACTGTAGAGGGTATATTAGAAGAAGAGGAACAATATGCTGATCAATTGAAAGAATACATGGCATTTGCTGATTCATTAAGGTATCAGTATGGTATCAATTATCAATACTTTAAATTAATAATTGATAAACGTTGCAATTGTTACTTAATATGACTTCATGGCAAACAGGCAAAACTGTAGATTTTTATTGCTTTCTATGTAAATATACTTGATCAAAATCAAGTTTTCACTTGTTATTGGCTTATAGTTACTTTTTATGAACCATCAGTAATTTCCTTAACAATTTGCCACCTTCAGATTTTGGAATGATGATAGCATAAAGGAAGAGACCAGGTTGGATCTCTTGGAGAATATCATTTTTGTCAGTTGAGATAAAATTTTATATTAGATCATACATATTTTGAAATTATAAAACAGACTGAATGATGTCGATACATCTTTCCTCTTGATAGTAAAGATTATGAATATTAAAAAAGGCATTTCAAAATTCCAAATTTAACTGCTGTGGATTAAATTTATTTCATTTTCATGGAAATCTTTTGCGGATTCAGAAAAAAAAATTATGGGAAATCTAAATTCATGAATTGTCTATTCCAAAATTTAAAAGAGAGGCGAAAGATACCAAAGGAACATTCAAACTCATAAGTCGAAAATAAAGTGACAACGTCATGGCTAAAAAAGAAAAAGACCAACAGACAAACAACAGTACACAAAACACAACATAGAAAACTAAAGACTGAGCAACACGAATCCCACCAAAAACTGGGAGTGATCTCATGTGCTCAGGAAGGGTAAGCAGATCCTGCTCCAATGATATACTGTAGAACAAATTCATTCACTTATTAGTTTGTTTCCTTTTTCAGCTCAAAATCTAGCATACAGTCTTGACCATCATATAATTGGCTCACTTTGGGCATATGTCTATTTGTGTGCTAAACACATCAGATAGAAGCTTATCATCTGTAAACACCAAGAAATAATAATTAGATTGTGGGTCATGCAAATTTTGTACCATATATAATAAAGTGTGTATTTATCTTTACTACTATTTGAACGTTCTCTGTATATTTTAGGACAGTATGTAGGAAGTATGAATGTATGCAGTATGATTTTGAGAGAGCTGAGGATAATCTGACAAACAAACAAATACAAAAAGAACAACTAGTATGTAATTTAGTAGTATTTTTTATCCGTGAGCCTTAGTTTTTGAAGTATTTTGTCATCAAAAGAAACCAGTAGAATTTAATGCCGAATAAAATATGTTATTCAGTTTAATTGATAAATGTATATACAAAGATAACATTTGTTTGAACACAATATAAAGTAACAGGTTCTAAATCTATAAACCATAAATATGGGACTACTTAGACAATCCTAAATACTTCAAATATGATTAACAGCATTGGCTCATGACTTAATTCAGTTGTGTATGATATGCATTTGTATAATGATATATACTCCTTCCTATCCCCATACATGTGATGGACTGTGAAACTCAGATCAGGAGATTGGGAAATTTTGGTCAGGAGGTTAGGACTCAGATCAGGAGGTTTTTTATCGACATAAATTTTGTCGTAAATGTAACCGTATGATGTAGAAATTGTCTTTTAAAGTGTTTTTTCTTCAACCTTCCATCCGAATGTAATGTGTTTATAGTACCTTTGTAGCCTTTCTAATCGAATGATATCACATTGCAGAAGGAAATATTGAGAGGATACTGTTTCTTGCTTTGTTTTTGATAATTGATTGTTGACTGCTTGTAAATATAGCGCTATGACCTTTTCTTTGTGTATAGATTTGTATTCATGTCTCCATCTCCTTTTATTTGTATTCAATATCATTGGTATAGATAAATAAGAAAGAAATATGCTATACATTTATAACATGATAAATAAATGGAAAAAATAACAAACAATAACAATAGTAATGCATGGTTTTTAAGCATTAAGAAAGTCTTTTTTCTAGAAAACTTAAGACTCAAACAGTGTAAAGTATTTTACTATTTTAGCTAAATCACTGTCTATATATAGATCTATATACCATTGACATATATTATTTAATAACTGAATCACTGGTCTTTGACACTTGGTCATGTAAGACTAAAAAGTACAACTGTACAAGCTGACTTGGCTGCTTTCAATAAACTTGACTCTGCACTAAATATATAAAGTAATCCTGATCCTGGTAACAGTTTGTTGATTTTTATACTCAGGATGCTGTGAATTGTCTTTTAGTCAATGTTTTCTGCTGTCAGTTTGGATCTTGTTGAGCATGATGAAAATCCTTTAATGTACGCATTGGAGTGCGAAATAGGTTATTTTTTTTTAATGAGTTGAAAGTTAATTAAATGTTTTTTTCGGCTTCAAAACCTTCCAATATTGGCAATGATGTTTTGACAACAACATTCCACTTTTCTATCATCAGCTAATCATTGCCAGTATTTCCCTTTAATCATCCTTTGCGTGTGCCATAGACAGAAGCCATGTTAATATTCTATCACCTGAGCTGACACCTGTTTATTATGCAATCAAACTATTATCACTTGTTACATGTAATTAATCGTTGGCCAGGTCAAAATCTACACGGGTTGTGTACAGGTAATGTCAGTTACACCGGAAATGTTCGTTACTCTCAGGTTTTTTCGTCTTCAATAATAAACATTTGTAAACATCGTAGTAAAAAAAAACGGCGCCTGAAAATTTTCATTCATGAAATATTTTATACACAGGATTTTTTTCTCTTCAACGGGAGGACGGAGGAGACCCATGAAAACGGGATTATTGTACTCCCGTCGGGAGGTTCACATGTATGTATCCCTAGATCCAATACAAAAAAAGTCTTATTGGCTTGTTTAATCCAAAAAACTTTTTCCCAGTTGCAATTCCAAGAAATCTACAAAAATTAATGCATTTTAGAAAGTAGAAATATGTAATGATAAGGTTGACATGTCTTTCATGTCTTATAACATTGCTGGTATTAAAGAAATTTAGTATTTTGTTAATAATCATAAATTGCTGTTGATAGTCCTTATGAAAACATTATGTGATGTCAAGGAATAGTAAATGGGCTATGACACAGATTTTGGTAAAATTTTGCATACAACTTTGGTTCGTTGAACTATAACTGAAAACTTAACCAAACTTGGCCACAATCATCATTGAGGTATCTTGTTTAAAAAAATGTGTCCGATGATCCCGCCCGCCAACCAAGATGGCCGACATGCCTAAAAATAGAACATAGGGGTAAAATGCCAGTTTTGTCTATTATTTTGAAAACCGTTATAAATAAAGAAAATTTGACAGGAACAGAAATGTTCAGAATGTTGAGCTCTACCTATTGTCTATTTACATCAAAACTGTCAGACGATTTCTTATAGGAGTTATTGCCCTTAAAAGACAAATTTTACCATTTTTTTTCATTTTTGCCTTTTATCTTGAAAACTATAATAGATAGAGAGAAACTTTAAAATGCAAAAATGATCAGCTAGACATGTTCTACAAATAAGCTAATGGTTGAAATCATCAGTCGACTCCTTATTAGAGTTATGGCCCTTTCATGACAAATTTTTACCAAATTTTTGTGTTTCGCCTTATATCTTAAAAATTAAAATAGATAGATAGAAACTTAAATAGGCAAAAATGATCAGCAAGACAGGATCTACAATTAATACAATATGGTGGAAATCATCCGATGACTCCTTATTGGAGTTATTGCCCTTTAATGACGATTTTTACCAATTTTTTTTTGCGTTTTGCCTTATATGATAAAAATTATAATAAATAGATAGAAACTTAAATAAGCAAAATTGATTAGCAAGCCAAGATCTACTAACAAGTCAAATTTTGCCAATATATTTAGTAAACAGTAAACTGTCACTCTTTCTAGGAGTGTTTGCCCTTAATTTAGGATTTTTTTTTACCCTCTTTTTTGTTTTGAGCAAAACTAAAGAAGATAGAGAGAAACGAAACAGACTAAATGATCAGCAATACAAGATCAACAAAACAGAGATTTTTGTCATGAATTCTATTCTTACCTATAATGTTGGAGAGTGTCATTTGTTGAATATGCATATAGACCAAGGTGAGCAACACAGGCTCTTTAGAGCCTCTAGTTATTATGCTATTTGTTTTCAAAGGTCTATCAAAATTACAGTCAATTCCGGTTATTTGCATAGCCTATTTGTCAGACAAAATTATGCAATTAAGCGGAATATGCTGTTTTAAACTTTATTTAAACAACACTATTAAAAGTGAATGTTAAATAATAGTGAAAGTAATAATGCTTTCAGGAAAAATATACATTGTACTTACCAAATTGCGGTAAAAAAATAGTTGTCAGTTTTAACTAAGCATATATCTAGCTGGAGATTATTTTTTTTTATGCAATTAACAGAAAGTCACAAAGCTTGTTATGCTATGCAGATAACCAGATTTTTTTTTATCATTAGATGAATAAGAAATATTTTGTGCAGGAGAAAATTATGCAATTAACCGAATTATGCAATTAACTGGTATAGGAATAAGTGGAGTCGAATGTATTTATTTTATTGATTAGAATGTCAGCAGCATTTACAGATGCTATGCAGTGGTAACTTAATATGCAAATTAATTTTTTTATGACTACATGTAATAGTTTAGTCACAAATAATGTGATGTCTAGAATGAAAGAATTTTATGATGATAAACATAATTCATTAAGTTATACATAATTTAATAACCAGTGATCACTTTTGATATCTGTGTTAGTTGTAGCTTGTCCTATCTAATGCACTGATTAGGTAATTCAAAAAATACTTGGAGTGTTGTTGAACAAAAAAATAAAGATTGAAAATAAAATAAACTAAAAACTTGCTTGATGTACAATTAAAACTTAATTTATCAAATAACTCAATCAGGCTAGACGTCACACCTGTAGAACACAATCTTTCACCTAGAAACATATGTTCTTATCCAATAAGCTTGTTCACTGATGTTTAAACTTTCAGTCAATGCAAAATTACATACCTGTCAACTCATCCAGATTTTGCAGGTCACACCTGGGAATTTAAGAGCTCAAAAATTTAAGATTATTCTATACCTGCCCTGGTCATCAAATAACCCTGGATTTTACCATCTGACCCATTTTGACCTGTATCCTACTGCTATAAGACTTTTAATGTCTGAAATGCTAGATTTCCTCTGAAATACAGCAAATTCAGAATTCTTCCAGGACAGGAAGTTTAAATATAAATGCTCTGGTGTAAAAACAATATTTTGACACTCCTTTGATTGAAAGGTAACAATTCACTAATTATCGCTAAATTATGCCTTCAGAATGTTGAGACCAAGCCAAGCTTGACAATTAGAATGTGATGTCCTTATTCATAAATTGCTGCTGGCAAACATCAACAATCCTAAAATAAATCATTTTAAAACAATTTGAACTTCTTGATACATACCTGGTGGAGACAGACTAGTCCTTAAACTATTTTGAACCATTTAATTTTTTATAGCTTAAAAGTAAAAGCTTTTTAATCCATGTGCTCAACAAACTACACAGGAGTATATATGTAAACAACTTCTTCTTTCTGTTTATCTCCGTGCTGTATATAAGAGCACATTAGCTAGAATTGATCTAGAATTATAGTTGTGTTTTATAAAATTTATTCAAAACAGTTTGAATGAAACATTTAGAATATTTGAATATTTAATAAATACAATGAAAACATAAATAAAAGTTTTAGATTATTTTCAGTAAATACATTACCATAGTTACAAACATATAAACAATACATTTTAAAATATAAAAATGCCTTCTAAAAATTAAATTCAGCTAAAAAAAAGTGTGTACCGGTACATATTATGGCCTTCATTTTTGTTGTCAAGCCTGCGACTTTTGTCTCAGAAAGCTCGACATAGGGATAGTGATCCGGCGGCGGTGGCAACTGGTGTGTTAGCTAACTTCTTAAAAGCTTAATATTTCAGAAGGTAGAATACCTGGATCCTTCATACTTTGTATATAGATGCCTTATGTTATGAAGTTTCCGTCTGTCATATGTCCATCGACCTTGACCTCATTTTCATGGTTCAGTGACTACTTGAAAAAAAAGTTAAGATTTTTAGTATTCTTAATTTCTCTCTTATTATGAGTAATAGGATAGCTATATTTGGTATGTGCGTATCTTG